CAAAATTAAACCCAATAGAAAGAAAAAAAATCAAAATTTCACAAACTAAAAAAAAACCTTAGGTCCCTTCATGCATTCATATCATACATGAAAAAATGTTTTATGTAAAAATATTGACTAAGTATGAAAAATAGTTTTTCAGAATAATCATTTTCTGAAGATAATTTTTGGCGGCTTTTATTCCTTACACATCGAATAAGAAAACTTGATTTTATGCGATTTTGGTATGAAGTATATATTGACTTAGGGCCAGTTTGGGATTGCTGTCACTTTTAAAAAAAGTTGCTTATGCTATGCTTTGAAAATAATTAGCTGTAAAGTAAAACAATTCCATGTTTGGTAAAAGCAATGTCAAAACCATTTGGTAAATTTTAATATAAAATTGTTGTAACTGTGAATAATGACTAAAATAAACATGATGTTAAAAGTGTTATGTACTAATCATGTGGTAGTGATGGAGTGGAGGTGGTGGTGGTGATGAATGTGGAGTTGGTGGTTATGGTAGTGGTGGTGGGGACGGTGGTTGTGGAGGTGGTGGTGGTGGTGGTGTTGGTTTTGGAGGTGGTGGTGGATGTGGAGGTTTTGGAGGAGGAGGAGGTGGTTGTTGTGGTAGTGGTGGTGGTGGTGGAAATGGAGGAGATGGTGGTTGTGGTCGTGGTGTCGAAGGATGAGGAGGAGGAGGATGTGGTGGTGGCGGTGGCGATGGCGGTGCAGGTAGTGAATGTGGTGGTGCAAGTGGTGGAGTTGGATGAAGAAGTGGAGGTGGTGTCATTTTTTAAAATGAATGATGGTATTTTGGGAATTAAAAAAATTCATTAAAGATTCATCTCTACTTCTTTTGAAAGCAGCTTTGAAAAACAACCCAAACCCTGCTTTTAAAAGCTGCTGTCAAAAGGCCACTACTTTTAAAATCATCGGGTTATTTTATTTTTACCAAACACCTTAAACTGCTTAACTTTAGGGGGGTGTATCCAATTCTAACTTTTACTGAGTTTAAAAGTCTGAAGGTATTCAATTGTGACTTTTAAATAGTCTTTAAAAGTTTAGTTGTATTCAATTGGAAGTTTTAAAGAGTATTTAAAAGTTTTGAGGTATCCAAAATGTTAATGACGTTTAAAGACTTTGTTAAATAAATGACTTTTCAATACTTTTAAAGCTAATTCTTACTACCAAAAGTCTTGGTAATTTACACAAGACTTTATATCGTATTGGGAAGCTGAGAAGCTAGAAACAAAACGTCTCCAATTCTTTCCTCCCTCATTATATCAAACCAGCAAGCAAATAGATATGTTTTCTTCAACTTTGGCATCCCATCTTGTCTCCACTTCCTCCAGGTTAGTAAAAAATCCATTTTGTTTTTCTTCTCTTCTCATCCACACGTTACTTTCCCTCTATTGATGAATATTTCTTCTATTCTTTTCCTCATACTTGCATCATAAGGCTTATCAATATGTCATCACAAAGCTATGTTTGCATATAAATATTTTATTATGTTGATTTTCTCATATGCTATGTTTGCATACAATATATTATTATATTATTTTTTGCCCCTAAACCTATTAATTTATTATTTAGGTACTGTTTCTTTACCCATAATTCGTTAGGTGGATAATTTTTTCATATAATATTCTCAATTTGATCACGTATTGGGCTAGGAGAATTGCTGGAATATAGACTCTTGTAATATGACCAGTTCTGTTGATTTATGAGTGTTTATGAAATATTATTGATGATTGAGTACTATTTATTTCATTTGATAAGAATATGTTACTTATCTATGTGATTAGATTTGATAAATAAAAATTTAAAAGGTGCATTGGATGCATTTTACCAATACAATTGGGAGTTCCATGTATGCCGACTAGTTAATTCAACATATTAAAAGATAAATCATATTCGTAAAATAAATATAAAAATAAGTATTTAAAAGTCTATAAAACACTATGACAAAAGTATATGAAAGTTTGTCACTTTAACTTTATAAAGTATGTAAAAGTCATTAAGAATCTATCAACTCTAGGAAAGTCCCTCACTTAAAAAAAGTCTTTAAAAGTTAGAATTGGATATACCCCCCTAAAGTGAAGCAGGTTTTTGGCGAAGAAAAGCAATCCCAAACGGGGCCTTAATGAGTCATCATTTTTAGCCTAAATTGTATTTTGCACTAAAACCGATTTTTCATATTTTGATTTGGTGAGAATTTGATTTTCTAGTATTTTGATTTGAATCCAAATAGGGGGTACTTCCTTATTTACATTGTAAACTTAAGTAAATTGAATAATATAAAAATAAATGAAAGTAAAAGGACAAAGATATTTACTTGTGCATTACTAGGTCCGCTACAACACATGTGGATACATATCAAAACATAAAGCATTTGAAATAATATACATATAGAAATACATAACAGTATATTACTTTTAAAATATAAAAAAATTAAGTGGAGGCCCGTGACCACACTGGTCCAGTGTAGCTCCACCCCTGGTGTTTAGCTAAATCTGGCTTGGGGGCAGATGAGCACCTGTGCAACCCAACCTCCCTAGAGTTTTTGGAAAGTTAATAACAGCAGTGTAACGTGGCTGTTTTTGGACCCCAATGTTTGTCCGTATATTTACTTCCAGAAAATAATTCACCCACCATTCAATCGTACTTTATTACTGGTTCAACCGCATCCATGAATTCCATACCAAACCTCTCTAAAACAGTTGTGGGCTTACACTGATTGTACTTTTATTAATGACTTTCAAACTTCAAATATAAGTACGATATTAGCAGTTGTCCAATTAAGTTTGCTAATAAATTTGAAGTTTATGGGCTATCGAATTCCTTGATCACTCAACTTCTTAGAAAAATCGATGAAGGTTGCCTAGCGTGATTTATGAATGCAATCTTCGTCTGTAAAAAAATATATAAAAAAATAAAAAAATAAATACATTGAGTGAAGTCATTGATAGTAGAAGATCAGTCATTTTCATTTTTCCTCATAACTTAAACGGGTTAGTGGTTTTGTTTGCATATTGACTGAGGCCCATTTTATGGTAACCCATGTGTACATTACAGTGTCTGTGTGTATATATATACACACACAAAGGCTCTTTCCATTCCAATAACCTTATTTGATAAGAACCCCCTCTTCTAATATTACAAATGGCTTTCTCTGGACTACTACTTCCCATCTCATCACTTCTCATCCTCATCTTCCTTGCTTACAAGCTCTACCAGCGGCTGAGATTCAAGCTTCCCCCAGGTCCACGTCCGTGGCCGGTCCTCGGAAACCTCTACCACATAAAGCCCGTGAGGTTCCGGTGCTACGCAGAGTGGGCCCAGGTTTACGGGCCCATCATCTCAGTGTGGATTGGATACACACTGAACGTAGTAGTGTCGAGCTCAGAATTGGCAAAGGAGGTGCTCAAAGAGCATGACCAGAAACTGGCTGACAGGCATAGGAATAGATCAACCACCATGTTTAGCAGGGACGGTCAAGACCTCATTTGGGCTGACTATGGGCCCCACTATGTTAAGGTCAGGAAGTTGTGCACTCTTGAGCTTTTCTCTGCGAAGAGGATTGAAGCTCTCAGACCCATTAGGGAAGATGAGGTCACTGCCATGGTTGAATCCATTTTCAATGACTGCACCAATCATGGTATGCATTTATATATGTTTCCAACTCATGCATGCATATATGTTTGTTATCTCACTGCCATGATTTGGTGTTGTTTGAAGTCTGTTTCTGCAGCTGATAACTATGGCAACTCATGCATGCATATATATAGAGGAGTTTATATGTTCCAACCGTGCTCATCCCAATTAATTACCATTTTGTTATTAATCTACTTTAATTAATTACCATAATGCAGCAGAAAGCAGTGGGGAAAGTTTGCTAGTGAGGAAGTATTTAGGAACAGTGGCATTCAACAACATAACAAGGCTAGCATTTGGAAAACGTTATGCTAACTCAGAGGATGAAATCGATGAGCAAGGCCGAGAATTCAAAGAAATTATTTCCAATGGAGTGCAGATGGGGGGATCTCTTTCAATTACCGAGTACATTCCCTGGTTGGTTTGGATGTTCCCTCAACAGGAAAAGGCCCTTGTTCAACATTTTGCTCGAAGAGACCGGCTCACTAGGGAAATCATGGAAGAGCACACACAGGCTCGCACCAAGACTGGCGATGCCAAGCAACATTTCGTCGATGCATTGCTTACATTGAAGGACGAGTATGACCTTAGTGAGGACACTGTTATCGGACTTCTCTGGGTAAGTATTTTCCGGAGCCTTTTACATTTAGCATCGGTGTTTTAAAAAAATCTTAACCACTAAACTAATCTAAGCACATAATCATGTTTGTTTGATAATATTTGTGCATGCAGGACATGATTACTGCGGGTACAGACACCACAGCTATTACAGTTGAATGGGCTATGGCCGAGCTAATCAAGAACCCTAGGGTGCAAGAAAAGGCACAAGAGGAGCTAGACCGGGTTATTGGGTTCGAACGGGTCATGACCGAAGACGATTTCCCAAACCTCCCTTACCTCCATTGTGTAGCAAAGGAAGCGCTGCGGTTGCACCCTCCAACGCCACTAATGCTCCCCCACCGAGCCAATTCCCATGTCAAGATCGGTGGATACGACATCCCCAAGGGTGCAAGTGTTCATGTAAACGTCTGGGCCGTAGCGCGTGACCCGGCTGTTTGGAAAGACCCGCATGAGTTCAGACCAGAAAGGTTCCTAGAGGAGGATGTTGACATGAAGGGGCATGATTTCAGACTACTTCCGTTTGGAGCCGGCAGGCGAGTATGCCCCGGAGCACAACTTAGTGTGAATTTGGTAGCGTCCATGTTGGGGCATTTATTGCACCATTTCAGTTGGGCTCTAGCTGAAGGAGTTAATTCAAAGGAAGTTGAGATGTCAGAAAATCCAGGGATTGTCACTTACATGACAACCCCATTGCAAGCCGTGCCTACACCAAGGCTTCATTCGCACTTGTACAAGCGCGTGGCCGCTGAAATCTAATTAGTTAATTAGTTCCTTCTTATGAAGTGTGAATTTTTTATTTTAAGTATTTCAATATCTTTAATTATCCTTATGGTTGGAGTATTTGAAAAGATGGGACTGTTTATTATTATTATTATATAAATAACGTTATTTGTATTATATTTATTGACCACTTTGCTGCCTGGAACCGACATATATCCTCATGCATCTATGTTTTTTTCCAAAACTTTTATTAACTATTGTATTGTATCAGTCCATGCAAATTACAATAATATGCTTTGAAGAAATAATATTCCTTATCTTCTACCTTAAAAGAACCATAATTTTTCTATTACCATCATGTGGAGGAAAACGCTCTAGCATCCCTTGAAGATTCATATATCTTTTGGTTGCTAAAATAATTTGTGAACCCTATTAGGGTTTAAATTTGATTTAACTGCAGCTTTTTAGAAAAGGAAAAATTAAATGTGAGGTATTGTTGATCAGTTTTGGCCCTGAATTTTTTAGGGCCTAGGGCGAAAGAGAAGAATCAAGGCCCTTTTCTACCATAAAAAAACAAATTTCTTCTACTTGTGTGCTCATTTAACATGCAAAGTTAATA